GGCAACAGCTCGCTTCAATAAACCTTTATGATCCCTGAGAGGCAGCTGACGGAGGAGGAGGGAAGGAGGCGATGAAAGAGATTAAGGAGAACATGAGGCTCACAAAAAGAGACAAAACCTTCATCACGTTATCAGACTGCAAGGCTGAGAAGCTGCTAACTCTCTAAACCAGAACCAGCACCTCGTGGTCGCGTTCTTCTGCCAAGTTCACCTGAAATCATCAGGAACCTTCTGCTTTACCATCTCTGACTTGCTTAAAAGTTGTTTTTTATCATGAACTATGGATATTTAAAATGTTACCTGTAAAATTATAGATTGACATGTCAAGCCCATCGACACATTTTTACCCCATTTTAGTCTCACGTTGGCGTTTGAGGCTGTTTGAACATCAATGTCTGAGGATCTACTGAAGATAAACGGCTAAAATTCTCACTGTTACTTCTCAGAATCATGAATCGATGCAAAAAAAATGCACAAATTGGTGCATCAAGATTCCCCAGAATGCAATGCTCAAGACTTCCTAGTGGAGGAAATCCAGACTTCAGAACTGATTCACATTAATTTATTGCATCTTGTATGTAGAGCTGCAGCACAGCAGCTATTTAGTGTGTCTGAGATGTGAAAAGTACAATCTGGTTGGTTTCTGTAGAACTCTGGTTCATGTACAGAGTGACTGGTGCAAAAACTGAGCAACTGTGAGAAAATAAATGTCTTATAAGAAGTGACAGCTTTAAGCCTGCGGATATAACAGTAATTTCAGCAAATAACATCCAATCAATTCATTTCTGTGTCGTGTCGCCAATGGCTAGAAATTTAATGAAAGCAAAAGTTGTACTAATGTGGTTAATATTGGACCAAAAGCACCAAACAGCACAACATCAGGAACGTAAGAACCCAGGAACCTGAATAGTTTTATAAGGGCAGCTGAGGTTCATGGGGATTGTAGTTTTTAAAGCCACACAAACGTACCAAGAAAACTACATAAATTCTCATAAATGAAGTAGAATAATTCAAACTAACATACATAAGACCAAATATATCAACGTAAGCCTGTAGATCATTCTTGGTGATTTTTATTGGCTAGCTTTCATGTGATGTCGTTATTATTACTTCTAGCTTTGCCTTTATGGCTTCACCCTCGATTTTCTTTCATTCCTCTTGTTCGTCTCCTTCGTTTGGCATTTTATTATTTGATCCGGAGCTGAAAAGTCTGGTTCTACACTTTTTCCTTTCCTGGTCTGTCTTCTTTCCGTTTGGCCTTTTGTTGTTCAGCGGTTTTTCTGAGTATCTTACTTTTATTTCTTGCCCTGTCTGTAAAGCACTGTGCTTGTAAAAGGTGCTTTATTAATAAAATTATTGTTAATACAGAATGGGTAATTTGAACAGAGGATTTTTGTGAAACCAGCAGCCAACACTCCTAAAACGTGGTTATTTTATCCCCTTTACTTCCTGAAACTGCACATCCCAGCTACTGCGCCATGGTGGCTTCTGTCTATGTGACACATCAGACGTCCAAATGATCAGCTTCATACTACACAACATATTAGACAGGAGTTATAAAAGGTGGAGTCTGTTTTGAGGAAACAGCATCCAGAACTTTGGACTGTTGTGTACTGATTGCTTCTTCTTATGCAAAAATCAGCTGCAGAGTTCGACCTGCTGCACACGACCGCAACATGCAAACCAGAGCCCAGCGTCCAAAGCGGCTACTTTGCAAACCCATTAGAACAAAACACACCAGACCTTTAACAGACAAACACACACCTGTGCACGGTCACGTTTGTCCATCAGCTCGCAACAGGAAGCAGACCAGACCAAAACACGCTCCACTTCCCCCGCCGCCACGCCTCCCCGTGCAACCCGCCACACCGGGCCCTCGTGTCTCAAGTCTAAAGTCCTGCATTGTGTTGCGGCTCTCACGCGTCTTCCAGTAAATAAACGCCGCAGTAGCAGCAGCAGCCGAGCTCGCAGTCACACCCCAAACCCAAACACACACCTGGCAACGCGACTACCTGAACAGTGGCAGAGATGCTGGGTGGCGTGACGCACACTCCTCAGCTCACCCTCAAACTGCTGATATAGTTTCTAAAATGCTTCTCAAGTTGACAAAGAGCTGAAAAAAGCTTGCGTTAGATTGTCTGAAATGGCTGAGAGGGATGGAGAGAACATCATATTCAGATGCACCACAATGCTTTATTTGTAATAAACCTGTGATTTGGATATCAATCAATCGTTCAACCCCGAAAATAAATGTTTGCATCAGTCTTTTTGAATTATCGCAAACTTTCAATGGAATCACGTTTAACCAAGAAACTGCACTGAGTTGGGCGAACGAGCTTATCGTCTGCAATCACAGGTACTTGTAATGAGTGTTTACCTAATGATTAGTAGCACGTTTTTCACTTGGTTACTGATAAACTAAAGGGGTTTTAACAGTATTTCCACATCATTTAAGAGGAATTTTTGAGTGTTTTGTACTTAATTACCAAACTTAGACTCTTTTTAAATGAAGTTGTTCCAGTGTTTAGTAGGAAAGGACTTGAAATCATGAACACAAGGTGAATTAAAATGTTATCAAGCCAATTTCATTAAGTTATCTTGACTTGCATTTAGTTTTAAATCGACTGGACTTTTTTGTTTGTTTACGTTAATGCAAATACCAACATTATTTTTTATCAACCTAGTCCACTAAAAATAATGTTTGCAACTTAAAAGGTTGTCCTAAACAGGTAAACTATAACTTATATCTTGCATCCATGCATTCATTTAAGTTTTTAGAGGGTGGTGTTTAATATCACCTTTTTGTTCCATCATGCCAGCCGTTTTAAAAAAAAAATCTAATTTAATAAATTCTTCTTAACTCGGAACTAGCAGTCAGATTCATAAATCATTTAGATGCACCATTATCAACAAATAACGTGCTAACATTTGCTAGCAGTCACATTAAAAATGTATTTTGTTGGCTAGCTGTAGCTGTTAGCTGACATTGGCTAGCTAAGCTGGTTCGTAACGCTAGCTTAAAAAGAAAAGTAATATCTGAAATATTAATTAAAAATAGTTAATGGACAACAGTATGGAACAACAACTGCGACAAACCTGTGAGCAAGCGTTCATGTAGTGGCAGTAATTACACACAGCTAATTCAGGTTAACTGAGGTCACGCTAGCATTTGCTAAATGAGGATGCTAGCTAAACAACTGAGCTAACAGAACTCCATCAAGTATCGTCAGGTATAAACAAGAGCTAAAGAGAGCAACTGTCTGAGATAAATCTACTTTATTAGACAGTTAAAGAACATAGTTACAGATACACGACATGCTAACTAAGCTAACTTCCTGTTTACACACAGCCTCACTGGTGTGTGAAGAATGAGGTGGATTTCAAAGGACGGCCGATGCCTCTGAGTTCAGTTTAATCTGTAGTTTATTATGAACCGCATGGAACAATCTGTCATTGCGGTAATATTAATGAATAGTGGAAGGCAGCAGGTGATAAAGTGAGTTCAGCTGCTGGCACTTTTATTACAGACAATCAGCTCTGATTTGGACTATGAACCAGGATGTACCGCAGAATCCTGACCAGTTACAGATTATACCGACTGTGAGGAAGCAAGGAAAGAAATTCTAAAACAAAAAAAAAGAAAAAAGAAGTCATTCATGTGAGCTCTTTGTGCAAAAACATCTGTGTGAACACAGTGGAGCCGAAGATAAAGGTGGGAGTAGTGAGTGGATGGAACATTTTTGACCTGGACGACACCAAGCTTCACAGAAACACCCACAAACTCGCTGCAAACAGTAAATCTGCAGCAAAAGGAGACTTAAAAACCAACTGTTTACCAGAAGTTTACCACAAAGTTAACCAGAAGTCCACTGTTAGTTTGCCACAGATCTGAAATGCATGTGAAAATATCACCTTGTGGTAACATAACCAAAGGTTAACTACTACCATAAAGCTAAAGTTTATGATTCTTAATAAACTATGAGCATCAGCATAAAGCTGATAACCTAACAAGAACCAACTGTGACTGATTTTTATACTATTTCGTCATCAAGTAGAAATACCATTACCACAACCCTCTGGTGTAACCCCACTCACACAGTGGTTTTTTTTAGGGGAAGTTGGTTGAATTTAATATAATAAACTGCATTACAGTCAAAATAACCCTGTTTTTTTTAGTCCATGTTTTGCCAATAATGTAGATATATCTACACTAACAAATAGACCTCCATCAGAACCATTATGAAGACAGAAACAAGGTACAGAAGTCGTCCTGTAAACACATAATGGATCGTTCTAATGTAGGTGTTTGTTTTTGGTCCATTTGGTGCCATTATCAGTTTACAGAATTGGCTATTGGTCGTTCTTGTTGGTCATGGACAACCTCGACTGAATCACTGTGATGCTCAGAAACCACAAAAACATGACGATTCTCAGCAACTGATTCACATTTATTTGTTGCATGTTTTGCTTTGTCCTGCTAAACTGTCTTATGCAGACGACATCCTTTATTATCGTCCAATCCCATCCAGATCCATTTGGTTAAGTTACCAGGGCTGAACATGAAGTGTAAAATCATAAAACAGGACGTGTCAGCGTTTCTAATATTTTCTACACTCAATGATGAATTAGTTGAAGAAAACCTACAGCTGTAGGAAATATTCAGTTTCATCTGTGGACTCTGGCCCCTCTTGTGTGAGTGATTCATCACTATTTTCCCCCGTGTTGCTAAATTTCCTGCTGATCATTACCAGAGGGATTTACCCTCTGACGTTTTTTTTCTAACACACACACAAGCCAGTGTTTGGCTACCCAACTGCAACCCGATGGGATTATCAGGTATCAGGTCGGGTTCAGGCTGTTGGTGGAGAGAGAAATATCCAGTTTAACCCTAACAGCCAGAACCGTATGTGCAGCTACTTCGAGTTCCAGAGGAGGAATCAAAACTAGAAGTAAAATCTTCAGACGGTATTTGTGTTTTAACTTGTCGAAGGCGTTCGTACCTGCGGACGGTGAGCTGCAGCGTCTTGTACGATCCTTTGACCAGAGCGATGGCCTCCTGTCGGTATCCGGTCAGCTCCACCTCATTGATGACGACAATCTCGTCCCCGACCAGCAGCGGTTGATCCAAACTATCGGCCTTACCGCCTTCTTCTACCTGCACACACAACAAACACAACAGATGCTGAAAAAAAACGGCGTCCCGCAAATGTGCACAATCGTTTGGTGGCATCCAGCTCAGTTACTGGGGCAGCCGGTAATTAAAGTCATTGATTAAACGCTGAAGATCTCATCCCTGTGCATCAAAGTTACATCTTCAGGAAGTATTTTTAACTGGGATTAATCACTTCTCACATTAAAGTGGTTTTAATAGAACTCTGCTTCCCACTGAATGTGCAGATCTATAAAGTTCCTGCCTCTCTGAAATCACAACAGTGACTTTAATATGTTTTGCATCATCACTTTTCTCCATAGTTTGTGCAGTATTACCTTTCAACTCTGGTTTTATTTTAGTTTACTTACTTTTCTTTTCATTCATGCATCGTACTTATATCTTATTGCTTTTTCTACCAGGCACCACATTTATTCTCGTCATCAGTGTCTGGCTCAATCATTTTCTTTGGGATTAACAGAGTTTTGTCTTATTTTATCCCTCGCTTGTAACAGTTAAACAGCTCTGTACTACATGAGTTGTAGTTTTAGAGTAATTCAGCCGATTCTGAAGATGAAAAATTACATAGAAATCATCACAAAGCCGCCATCGGTCCGCTGCAGTTTAAAGATGGAAATACTCAGAGTTGACCTCTCATTGCACTCATGTATATAAAACACCATACAGCAATGCTAACGAGGTAAAACACTTGATTTTCACATTTACATCTGGTACCAAACTCCCAATTCATCCTCAAAGTGCAGCAGAAGTTCAGCAGGTCGAGTTCAGCGGTGGGATTTTTACGACGTCTCCGAGCTCATGAAAACCCAAACACAGTGACCTCAAACCAGCGGAGCCTCTTTGTGCTAAGCTAGGCTAAACGTGTCCCGGCTCTACCTCTGCGCTGATGAAACTTGTTGAGTCACACTTGCTGTGGCAGCTGCTATCAGGCGTCCATTGTTCTGGTACCGCTAGTGTAAATGTGTGCGTGTTATGAAGCGGGTCAGCGCAGGGAAAAGCAGGCGGCTTTGGCTGTTTGCCTGGAAGCTTTGTCATTCTTACATCCTGTCTGTCTCATAATTATTAGTGAGTTTTTTCCCCCCGTAGCCTTCGCAGCTTATCAGACGCGCTGCTCGGTGACGCTCTGGATTCCTGTGGAGGCGGCGAGCTTCTTTTTAAAACCAAAAATACCAGAGCGACAATGCAAGAAATTAAATAAACAGCGTGTCTGTCTAACGAGCTCGTTACCTACACTGTTAAAAGCAATGCAAAGAGGTGGTATTTAATTTCAATTACAGGTTACGTTAGATGGTGTTCTTCACTGAATTTAAAGAATTCTGCACTCTAGCCTACTGACCTAGAAAATGTATTACCCAAGACAGCAGCACAGTTTCCAAACACACCAGCTAGTCTTTACCTTAGAGGCATTTTCTCTTGGAGAAAGAACGTATTGGATAATAACAGCATAGTATAATGGTTGTATGTTGTTCTATATTTATCCTCCTAACAGGGCTGCATGGGACAGTCTGAATTTACATTTGTCTTTATCATGCTCAACTAGCTTGAAACCACGAAACAAGATCAGTTCAGTTGTCTTCTAAATGCTACGTATGCTAGCACTAACTTTTTTTTCCTGGGTCTTGTTAGCTTAAGCCTCAAGCCTCTAGGAAATTATAGTTTTTCTGAAACTACCCAACTTAAGGCTAAAAATAAATACAAGTGCTGACAAAAAGAAAACAAGCATGAACATCTTATATCAGCCAAAGTCAAAGGAAATATGCTGGAATGCAGGGCTGCAGCATTGCACGGGCTAAAAGCATTAGCATTTATGTCACAATGACAACTGTTTTTTCTGAAAATGCCCAGAAAACAAAAACATATCGAGTTACAAGCAAAACAAAGCAAACATTAGCAAACAGTAGCAAGCATTAGCATTCATGTTAGCTTTTTGAAAATACCCAACTTGAGGCTAAAACCAATGGAACTACTAGCAAAAGAAAGCAAACATGGACGGCTTCAATAAAAACATATACATAGAACACGTTTTATAATGATGTGAAAGAAATATCAGCATAAATTTACATTTTTATTTAACACAATACAAACTAGTTCCAAAACAAGATCAGTTCTGTTGTTCTTCATGCTAAGTATGCTAATGTTTTTCCTGGGACTTGTTAGCTTAAGCCTTTTGCTGCATTCACGTCATATCAGTACAGCTTCATATGTGCTAGCATAGCATTAGCATTTATGTCACAATAGCAACTGGGAAATTACAGTTTTTCGGAAAACAATAAACTTGGGGCTAAAACGTAGGAACATGGACACCTTACATCAGCCAAAGGTGAAGGACATGTGCTAGCATACAGTGCTACAGTTTCATATATGCTAATAGAATTAGCATTTATGTCATTATTACAACAGGAAAATACAAATTTTTATGATAATACTCAACTTGGGTACCAGTTTCGTACATGCTAATAGCATTAGCATTAATGTAGTAGCTAACCCACCATGTTGTTCTATAACGTTGACTGAAAAAATGACCTTGAAGTGTTAAAAACTGCAGCAAATACAGTCCCAAATTTCCCACATCATCACTCCTGTATTTGGTCTAAAGTGATGATGATCCGGCTGAAACTCCCACTCTGACACTAACAGGAATACTGTACGTATCAGCATGACCCAACTGCTTTATCGTGCCGACAGTGATGCCTCTTAGCAGCCTGTCAGGTTGAGCTACAGTATCAGAGCATACGTCTGCATCGGCCTGGTTATCAGTGAGTGTCTCTCTCCATAAAGGTCACATCGTCTTGTTGTGAGGCTCAGTGTGAGATAGTCAAAATGTCTCTGAACAAACTGCTCAGACCTGATGCCTGTTCGCTGTAAATGAACCAGTTATACGATTGTAAAGCAAAATGTTTTCTGGCTCTGATTCTCATTTCATGCAAAGTGAGCTTTGGTTGGTTCTCACCCGGATTAGAACAAATACATAAAATGCGTTGCAGTGAGACACTACAGACTGCATATGAAAGAGGAGGCCCAGCGATCAGCTGGTTGTAAATGGCATCGGTAAAAGTTTGGCCACATTCTTGAGAAAACAAAACCTAACAAGACCCAACAAGTTCAAAGGTCAACTAGCTCTGGTTCTTCCTGTTATCTCGGGCCGTTGGTCATAAAGCTACAGATGACATAAATGCCAACTGCTTTGGATGCCAGCTTTTTTTATACGAATGGAAAAATCCTGGAAATCTGTAGTGTCTGTAAATGGCAGAAAAACGTAGTAGATATTAACAGGAATATAAAGAGGAGAGGAATATACAATAAAGGAGAATCCGCCATATTTGACCATGTTGGTGCCTCTCAGATCTGATGCTCAGACTTGGTTTCATTATAATCTGTAAGATTTTATGTATACGTCCCAAAGCAGCATAAATTAGACAAATGATGCAGAATTACGGACATTCTGTGCAAGTTGATATACAAAGGATAAACGCTCTTTTGGCGTTAGTAAAGTAAGATTCATGAGACTCTCCAATGGCCACCATGATGTGCAAGAATTCCCCAAAGTGAATGACAGACTAGATATAAAGATGGACGACATGACATCTTCCAAGGAAGCCTGCCATTGGCTACACGTTTCACATCGCTTTCTCCTGCCCATTCACTTCCACATTTTCATCATTAATTTCACTGCAGGAAACAACATCTGCAACCATCGAGACACCACACTGAATGTTTCAAGGTTTGGCAATAAAGCAGCCTTGCTAGTTTTTTACAGTGAATTCTTATTTTAAGGCCAATGCTTGCCTTCCTGCATGTGAATGCTCCACCAAAACATTTTGCCCATCACTACTTTGACCTACTTTGCTGCATCCTGTTCTTAGCCTCATCCAAGATGACCGCGATTGAAGAAATACAAACAGTTCTAGGCATATTTTTTCTATGTAGCGTGAAGAAAATGAGATAAACAAACAGTAAGTGTCCAAAAAGCTCAACTTGAGGTGTTAAAGTTCCCCAATGCTATTACTTGAAAGTCACCAAGTGGCGACCAACATAACTGGCTGCTGACGAGGAATAAGATGCAGTTCCCGTTGTGGCCACTAGATGCTTATCTAGCAAATAATCTGATTGTATTGACTTGAATGGGAAAAGCCCTCAACTTCTCTTGACAGAAACAAAATCAATCCAGACTTTACACATCAAGTTCAACCCTTACAGTATAATCTTACTTCTATAGGCAAGAATTTAAATGTAGATTTATACAACAATTGCTCTGTGAAGGAGATATTATGGTTTAAGGAAACTGTTCATGTCCCATCAGAAAACACTCTGGGTGCTGCTGACTGTTCCATCAGTGTCCACCCACTCTTTTTTCCAAATTAGGATTGTCTGGTTCCAGTAACAAATCTGACCTCGAATTCAGGAACCTGTAAATAACCACAAGGATGGGATTATGTAACCTGGGAAAGTTCAGGTTGGCCACCAGGAGGTAAAATGCGGTAACTCACACCAGAACGTGACCACATTTGATAGTTGTTTTCACATACTTTCCTGTGATCGACAAAAGGTATCGAGCTCTATTCTGAAACAATAAACCCCGCCCATCTGGGACTCTTCAAATGTTAAAATAACTGCCAAGAATTTCTCGCAGGGTGTGCCTGGCCCTCATCTGAATTACAACATGTGTTACGTTTCAACAAAAGCATAATGTGTTTTAGCCCACACGCTGCACCTCCAGCGTTCGAAAGTGCTCATGTACAGTGTGTGCCGAGTGACTTGAATCACCTCCAACAAGTCAAAACACTATTTGAAGGCCAAGGCTGCTGACGGACGGAGATGAGCTGCTCACATTCATCCGCTCTGACGCTGATATGCCATTAAAAGCAACACAAATGTGAGCTGCATCTAATGAGCTGCGCTGATGTGAAGGGCAAAAGAAACATCCTCTCAGAACTGTGTTAAAATCTAAACCATCCCTGAGCCCTGCAGAACGGTGCCTGCGCTGTTTGGCTTTTTCAGGAATAAATATACCCAAATAAGGGCCGCAGAATCACCCAGTAACTCCGCAAAAGTGTGTGTGTGTGTCAGTGACTTTGGTATTCCAGCTGAAATTCATTATCCTGCAGACGGAGATATCTAAACAGAGTGGCTCAGCCTGCTCATACCGTGACTGAAACAACATACCTCCTCTAATCAATAAAGACTGTGTGATTTGGGAAAATATCCTCGGAGAGCAGTGGGGGGGCTCGGCCGAAGCGCTCTGGACTTGACAGAGTTGCAGCAAACCTGGCCAGCTTGGGAAAACGAAGCTACTTGTGACCCTTCATCACAGGTTAAAGATTAAGCGTGGATATGAGTTATGCAAAAGAAAGTTCTCCCAAAGAGTCTTTTTTTTCCCTTTTTTAGCAGGTTTCATCTGAAGGATATTTAGAGATGAATTCTTCCAGTATTTAACAAAAAAGAAAGAGCAAAAAAATCAGCGTCCTGAGGCTAAAATGTACTGATGTTTAGTCCCCAGTATCAAGAGTGGTATTCCAGCACATTTAGTACTGCCAATCCATTAAAAAAAACGGAAAAAACAAGCACCAGACGTCACAATATCCTGACTTGTTTTGTCCCTGATAGGGTTCAAGCTCTGAAAAACGCTGAATCCTACATTTCCAATAATGGAACTCAGTATTTTCGTCAAGCACATCCTCCCTGTCTTTCAGCCCGCACTTCCAGTTTGCAACAAAGGCGTTCTGATGTAAATCCAAGCTGAAATAACTCTGATTTTATCAGTATGACACCATCCAAACTGCTTCAGGACCACAGAGGATGTTGTTGAACTGTTTTCAAAGGTAGAGTAGCACTAAAGGGCAACATAAACAGCTAAAGTGTTCCTTTAAATCATCCTGTTCGCTGTTGGAAACCAGTGGACTAGCGTGACATTTGAGGATAACTGTGGTTCTTATTTTGGTGTTTTTATCCACTATTCAGGTAATTTGTTGTAACATTTTATACCTGACGCTCTGACAATCCAAAGACCCGACCATAACCAAACCTTTACCGTCGTCCACCTCAAGTTTGACTTGAAGGAGCCCAAACATGCGAGCTACATCTAGAAGTCTTCACAGGGTAATTTGTTTTTATAAAAGATGGACGTAGCTGCTGTCATGTCACCCATTGGTTAGAGGACTACAGCTTTAATACCTTGAGTTTGCCATTTGGTGGCCATCTTGATCTTTTAAAACCAGATGTAAGGAATGAGCATTGGATCTGACTGAGAACTCAAAGACACTACGAACGTCTGTACAGTAGTAGAAGTGGCCCCACCATAAAACATAACCGCCTTTATTGTCTATTTTCCTCTAAACGGAACCATAATTTACAAAATGAACGCTCGACTGTACTCAAAAACTCTTGAAACTACCAATAGAGACCATAAACTCACGAGGGAAACATTTGCTGAGGGAACAAATCCAGTTAGAAGTCGAGTCATTTTCCCAAACTGACCTTGTCTGTGCAGCCAGAAGAGTCGCCCCCTGCTGGCTGTTGGTAAGAATGCAGGTCCATCTTTTATAGTCTGTTGCGCTTCGTAACCAAAACCCAACCCTTGACCCAGCTTGACTGGGTGGAACCAGCAAGAGTTGGGTCAGTCGTTTTAAAAATTACTCAGGCACGATGAGTTCGGTAAGGAAGTCCACTTAAGTAAGCCAATCAGAGTTCAGCAAACTACTAACCTGAATATATGTTTATCATTTATCTTTACTGTAACTATTGCTTTATAAAAGCTGATCACTTTATGATCCAGTTGCGACAGCAAGACATCAGTAAGTGTTGAAGTGAACCGCCCAGCTCGGTTTGAAATGGATCAGTTGTTCAACTCTTACCTTTACGGTTCACCTGTGTTGTGAAGGAGTAACTATGGCACATATAACAGTTTGGTGCCAGTCATGAAGGCTTCACATTTAACCTGAGCTGAACCACCTGCATTAATCGACCACAAATCGACCGTAAACAAGCTAACGGGACCAAATGTCTTTTATTCTACTCAGCAGGTCACTGGAAGAAGAGTCTGCAAATCTGAGAGGGAGGAGATGCGGTTTAGGATTTTCACTACGGATGATCTTTACAAAGACAACCAGGTGTAGGAGCAGGCATTTCTTACACTTAAACCCAACACGAACATAAAAAGAGCCAGTTAATCGAGACGGACAAGCTCATTTTCCAGTCAGGTGGCCCTAAAGCTACTGCAAAGGAAGCGAGTGAAACCAGATTTCATTTCATTTTTACTCCCTCAGTGTTATAAATCTGGTGAACCCTCCAGTGTTTCCCGCATTTCCCCTTTTTGGACATGAGCTGAATGCGCATGAAACAAGTGGCTGCAGTTTGAGAGCCACGGACAGTAAAAAGACAAACAGAGCAAATATGGAATCTGAAAGGGAAAAGCAGCGAAAAGGAAAAAGAGAAAAACTGAAGCCAGACATCAGGCTGCTGCTGGGTCCAACACTGATCCGAGTACAGTACAAAATAAAAGCACGATTGTGTCCAAAAGCACCCAGGAAAACACATTATTCACATTCTTGTCCTATTTTACAGCCGCTTGGCGTCCAGCCCAGAATAACGTCCACACAGACACGCACCCGTACGTACATACATGCAGCAGCCTGATTTGCATTTTAATAAAATGAGGCCATAAGGGCAGCAGGGGCATCACTGGAGGTCAGTCTCTATGTTACAGGCAGATAAACCAACAGAGCTGAGCGTTTCTGTGCTAAGCTAACTCAGATGCTGTCGTTTCAAGGCTCGTCGAATGACAACTGAATGACGACTTTACCAAAGTGTTTGTCAGAAATCCCTCCTTCTGTGCTCCTTAAATACTCGAGCAGTGAGTTGATGTTTTGTCATTCTCATCGTCACTTTGGCATCTTTAATGTCCGGTGCATTGCATTGTGGGATTGATAGGACAGGAGCATACACTAGATGCTGTATTATTTTTGTTCCATCGTGGAATTTCTTTACAATACAGAAGATAAACTTTTACGCTGGACAACGATGTAAACTTGCAGACAGTGAATGTAGAACGTCGTACATTCAGTCAACTGTAACACAAAAGCATCACATCTAAATATGGAAATCAATAAATTATTTACTGATTTACAAGCGTTTTAGAGCTCAGGAGTTTGGAAAACATGTGGGCTTGGGTTTGGAAAATGCAAACATCTAAAGCAAAAAGTTAAAGAGAGGAGTTTCTATGAAGCTGTGCTGCTGGATGCATTGTGGGAAATGTAGGAGCCACTGTTTTTGGAGTTTGCCCCATGTCAGGATTTAACAATCAGTTTTATTGGCAAGGAATGTGACCGCAGTGATTTGCTGACTTTTTTTTAAAAAGAAATATAATAAGATTTAGAGAGAAAGCAAGCGTTAAGTCAACAGACAGTCAGAGCAGTGATGACAAAGTAGGAGAACTATTTATGATGTGCAGAAATAAAACCTGAGGACGTGAACATTGACATGAACAACTTTAAATGCACAAAACAAAGCTTCATGTTCATGTAAAGCACTGATTATTGGTGGCACATCTCTGCTTTGATTCCTTTTTTAATCTGCTGCTGGCAGGTTCAGAACTTTAAGGAGGTGTAACAGTAAAATAGTTGGAGAGGACCTTTAAACTGCAGCACACAGGCTGCTTTTGTAGTTTTTTGTGCTTTTATTTAACAGAACTGGTTCTTCTGCTGCTGACATGTTGCGGCTACACTAAGATTAAAAACAGGAGATGTTGTTTCTGTGCGCCACACATGGCCAGAAGCTCGGTACCTTGGAGATGATGAGCGGCTCTCCGTGCTCCAGGCCGCCCTGCAGGGTGAAGCCCCACGGCGCTCCTCCCTGCAGCCGGGCCTCCACCAGCACCCAGCCGCCTCCGTCTCCTCCTCCGCCCGCCGCCGCCGCCGCCGCCGCCTGCTGGAGCCCCGCCCGGCCACCGCTCTCCATGCCCGGCCGGGGGGAGCGCTCTGTCTCCGGGGAGAACCGGTGCGTCGACAACGATCCCTCACCGGTGCATCGCCCGTTCTCATCCACAGCTCCTCTTTAGGGGGAAACAGAGCAGGAGGTGTCCGAGCACCGAGCTGCGTTTCCTGCAAAGTGCATTCCTGTTGCGCACGGAGCCTCCCGGCGCACGGACTCCCCCTCCTCCCCAGAAAAAACACCCCGAAACCGGCCGCTGGAGCGCGGGGAGAAAAGTTGAAAAGTTTACCGAGAGGAGAAGCTTCACGACGAGGTGGAAGCGGAGGAGATGTGCGGAAAGAGAAATCCAAAGTGGCCTCAGTGTTCCTGCGCGTCTCTCTATCTGTCTGTCTCTCTCTCTTCCGAAAATCAGTTTAGCATCACAATAGGATTTACTGCGACTCAGTGCGCGAAGAGAAAGGCGAGCGGAGAGGTGCAGCGAGGTAGAGGGAGACAGAGAGGGAGGACGGAAGGAACGGATGGACGAGAGACGGAACAGCAGAGTTAGAAAGAAAGGTTTTGAGCTGGAATAGTAATAAAATAAAAAAGGAAAAGGGAGAAAGTTTAAAAGAGAAAGTATGAAGACAGGGAGCGCTGCGGGGCTGAAGGCAGAGGGAGTGTTTCCTGAGTTTCCTGCTGATGAGTGGTAATCCAATCCTCCACAGCACACTGAACCCTGGTCCCATTCACACTGGGACCAGATTACCGCAGGAAAACCAGATTAAAAGGTTCTGCCGGATCAAATCCTTTACACGGTTCACAATGGCAGCCAGAGTCGGGTTCAAGTGTGGCATCGAACCAAAGGCCTCGGTACGCCTCACCTGGACTATAAAGTCTCCACAACGTTACCTTCTTACACAACTTTAACTGCTTTCTTTCACACGGTTTGATGGGATTGCTTTGGAATAAACGTAACTTTTGACCCGCGACATGGTGAGAAAGGAGTCCACATTATTAGGACAGAACCGTCCTGTAAAGGCCAAAACACCACCTAGTTTCCTTTCACTTTAGGGTTTTTACTGACTTTCTGGTTCCGCTGAGGCACCAAAACTGGTCAGATTTCGGAAGGTTTGTTGGACGCTCTTAAACCTTAGAAGTTCGGCACCAAAGTTCCTTGGTCAGGTTTCGTAAAAATGTCACGTTTTGGGTTAAACTACGACCATTTCACTACGTATTGGAAGCTTCTCCTAAATTTTTCAGGGTTTTTGGGGAAAGGCAGCTGTGAGGAAGGCCACCAAGTCACCTATGAGTCCCGCCGAAGCTAGTATTCACCACCAGGCTTCAGGGATGTTTGGGTTACCATGGTGACAGCTCCATCTAATATATGATTGGTTGGGTGAAAAGCAGCAACAGTAGTTGTGTAAGAAATGAAACAAGACTTAGAGTTGACCACCATGCTAGCTGCTTTGTGAGGTTTTACTTTACATTGTAGCTTAGCATGTTAGCATGTCAATCAACACCAAGTAGTCCTGAGGCTATGTCATTAGCTACGCAGGCGCTTCATAAACCAAAACCCTGGGAAAACTGAAGTTATCCCCTGATAATGGCGCCAGATAGGAATGTCTGAGCCAATATCGGACTGTCACTTAAAAAGCACTGATTTTGGCTGCATGCTGGCACTAGAGGGGAGTAGTCATGGGATTAGCAGAGTTGTTGGGACGCAACATCTGGTCACCATGAACGTCTGAGCATAAATCCAATCTGTTCAGCAGATTTTGAGTATTTCTTTACTCGCTGGTTGCATGAACGGAAAAGTGGCTCTGATAGGTCGGTAAGATTCATCCTTTCTGCACCACCTCTACCAAACATCACGGTGACCCGTCCAGTATCTGTCGAGACAATCTGGTACAGAACCCAACTAGCATGGCTCAGCTGTTGGCTGAAAGATGACGAAGGCTCGATTTGAAAGTAGAGAAAGGGTAAAACCTCAGATAGGTGGTTGCATCACTGGTAAAATACGCTTAAATACACGCATCAGGAAGTGAACGCATCAGGAAGTGAACGCATCGCTGTTAGCAATGCAGTGATGTTCCACTGACTCAGTTCAGTCGTACATTCAGTCAGAGTTTTGGCTTTTAACCAGAAGGTCATCGGAGAAGATTGAGTCAGTTTGAAGATTTGTACTGAACGCCTGCACACTTCAAACATCTGGAAGGATCTGAGAGTAGAACATCTTCTAATTCTTGCCTAAAATAACCAGTTAAAGTGGTTCAGCGTTTCAGGGTCTCCAAATTCCTTTGGTTCCTGTTGGTTGGTGGTTTGGGCCTCTATGGATGGGCCTTGTTCCAGCGCATCTTGTGGACACTTGATCAGGTTGGGATCTGGGTAGTTTGGAGGCTCTGTCAACTTCTTCGGGCTGTTTTGTAAATCCTGGAGCTGTTTTTGAGCACTCTGTTGGTGTTCGGTCTGCAACAATGTTCGGGTGGGCACATGTTGAAGTAAAATCCACATGAGTTATTGGATCCAAAATATCCCAACAAAAGATCAGATTGTTACGAGACAATCAGTGTTATTCACTTTACCTGTTTGATGACTGGTGTCTGATTGGTGTGTATCTGACCTGAGGATGTCTTGGGATGCCCTCTAAGACCTGGAGGATGGCAGGAAGGTTGTCTGGAGCATATTTAGTCAAGTTAAAAGCAGCATTTTATGACAAGTTTGTACAGTTGACAGAGTTTGAGCACTCGTATTATCAAGCTTGATGGTAAAGTAGTCGAGGTTTCTGGAAAGATTTCGTTGAGTCGTGATGGAAGTTTTAATACTCGAGTTGCGTTCAGGCTTTTTGGGGGTGAGGAGCTAGACAGAAGTGAGCTTACCAAACCTTTGTAGCTTTATCGGCTGTAGGCTACATTATCTGCCTGAATGTAACACACCTGAATCATCTGAACCCTCCAGGGTGGACTCGCCTTCTGGGTAATGTACCATCACATCTGATAAACCGTCTTCATTCAAGCAGCTATAATCAACGATTCAGCTTCATAATGACTCACAGGGCTTTGTATATACAGCGATCTGGCAGCGATAGAGCCACGGAGAACTCAGGATTCAACTTGGCTGGGACCCTACGTGGACAACGGATTCCAGCAGCTCCTTGGGCGTGTTAGCGTTTGGGAATGCGGTTTCACGGAGGCGTCATCAAGCGTATCGGCTAACGGAGGGATCAGAGGTCAACGGGGTCGAGAACAGACAGGAGACGGGTTTGTGGATCAAAAACAAAAGGTTCAGGTGACGTACTGCGGAACAGCAGGTGAGTCCAAGAACTGAGACGTTGTTCACCTGAAGCTCAGTCTGACGGCTTCAAGTCAAACAGAAGAGGAGAAACGACGGGTAGTCCTCTCAAATCATCAGCGGCCGTCTGCTCCACCATCGCTGATTTGCTTCAGACTTTTTGAATATAAACTGTGGATATTTAAAATGCCTTCTGCAAAAATTGTAGATTGATTTATTAAGTACTTTCTGAGATAAGAGTTTGTAAAAACTGCCCGTCGACTCACTTTCAGCAGGTTTTTTCTCACATTGATATTTGAGGCTGTTTGAACAACAACATCTGAGAAACTATTAAAGATAAACACCTGAAATCTTCTTTGTTATTTCACAATATTGCACAAATAGATCAAATAATCTGTAAATGTAGATGGGTTGAAATATAAAAAGTCCCGTCTTTGAGCTCATATTAACAAAAAAATAATAATCCAGAAGTCAACTAGTGATATTTTCTGAGGTCACAATAATACAAAATTAAAAATCTAGAATAGCTTATAATATGAACTACTTGGTCACAAAAATTAAAATGTTATTTTCAGCAAACTTTCATAAATAATTGAGTAGGCACAACAAGCCGTATCACAAAAATAAAAGCATTAATATGAAATACATGAACCTTTCACAACAATTTCACTTTTTTTCAACTCATCCATAATCAGAAACGATTCGAGCTACCTGTCCATTATTCTACAAATTTAATCAATGACATGATGAGAAATAACAGCGAAAGTTTCAGGTTTTTATCTTTAATAGTTCCTCAGATATTGTCATTCAAAACAAACTCAAATTTCAAAAAGAAAAAAATCCTGCTCCAAGTGGCAAGCGATTAAAAAAATGTTTACCTCTGAAAATATTTGATATCTGAAGCTAAAATCTCACAAATATCTTTATAAATATCCATATTTAACGCTATAAATATGAGGCTTTGAAGACCGGAGTCATCAGCGTGCAGTGTGTGATCAGAGATCGCCACCTAGAGGAGTGTAAGAGAATTACAACCATCTGCTTCTCAACACGATGAACCTTCACTGTAATACAGATACGAGGTGGTGATGATGATGGAGAGGAGCTCTGGTGATCATTTTCATTTCAATTGTATAATATTTGGCACATTTCAGATGCTTTGTCCAACTTCAACTCTTTGAAATTGTAATTTTCTTGCTGGACTTGAGACTTAAACCCATTTTCCAGTAAACCCGGTGGCAGCAGTGCAGATTTGTGGAGCCGGTTCGATAAAAAGACAAGAAAACTGAAGGAACTGACATTAATACAGGTACATTTATTTGACCGTACACACCGTGGTTGGTTATTGTGATTCTCATAAGGCACCGAGTTAAGTCTAAACCCAACGTTAAACAAACAATTCATATATAAATGTGCAATTCAAAAAACATATTTTTAAAAAAACTGAGTGCATCAAAAGATCCTGATTTAACCAAAACCTCAACAGAAAAGTCCAGAATTTCCTTTATAAACTCCTCACATGCAAATATCTTTACATATATATATATATTTTCAACACGACTAGTTACAGGTTTATAAACTTCTTTTTTTTTACAGCTCAAACTTATCCTGGTTATAAAATCTCCACAAAAACACATGTAACGTGTTCAGGCTGGTAACAGAACAGAAAGCAGCTACAGTACTTAAATATTATAATTACCCACTGCCTTAATAGCAGGTTAAATAATAAAGACGCACTTTAAAAGTTTGATTACATCTTCACAAGGTCAGTTTCTATTGACAGTGTCGTTTTATAAAACTCAGCGTTTCCTTAAACCGGTTTGGTGACGATGTGGTAAAGCTGACAAGTCAGAAAGTTTGTCCTTCCTCAAGTCAAGTAAAAACTGTTTTTATGGCTGAACTGTTCAGGTTTGAACAATATAACGTTTTATAAGCAAAAACAATAGAAAATGTCCTTAATTATTAAACCTCTAACCTCAAAACTGAACGTATTGACGCTCATTTTAAATGGTGGATGCTCCGTTTTGGAAACAATCTCGTCACCGGTATTAAAATCATCGGATAAAAACTGTGTGTTGAGCACAAGGTATTGAAGCTAATGCTAACAGCTTTCGTTCAGTTATCTTTCCGAGTCTGGTCGACGCTTTGGCACAAACACTACACCACCTCCTTATGATGTCTTTTGGTATCATTCAGTTGTGTTTTATGCACGCTACTAAGACGTAAATTAGCGCTGCACTCTCTGCAACCTTTGGCAAGTCAATAATCCAGTTAGCAACTCGCTAGCGTTAGCATTCAGATCTCTGTGTGTTTGCAATCGGATTACTAATTCAAAGGCGCATACAGGTATCAATGGCATGTTAGCATCTCCGGCTCTGTTAGCCTGCTACTGCATGGGTTAGGGTTAAAACATGCTAACACGCTAACTGGTGGCATGTTAGCATCCAATGTTACATCAAGCTAAAAGCCCAGAAAAAGTTTTGGAGCACTCTGACCTGTTTGTATTTGGTTTTACGAGCCTTACAGTGCAGCATTAGCTTCAACCTGTAACACGTTTCCAGAGGTTTTCCATCACTCCTGCTGTTCAGACGCTACACATGGCGACAGGGCTGCGCTATGAAGCCAGTTTAGCAGGTTAGCCAGGTATGTTGAGCCTAAAGTCTGAGTTTTTAGCTTTTAGCCTGCTAGATCACCATGGCAACCAATTGAGCTAACCTGCTCTGGAGGAGGTTCTGGTCAGAGTTTGGGATATAAATCGGCTGGAAGAAGCGTCGCTCTTTATCCAAACCTTCTCGGAATAAGTTAAATCTCCGAACCTGTTAAGCTGTTTGTTTGTGATCGTGCTAAATGAAGACGAGCAGTTCCAGCATATCGATGCTCGATGGATTGTGTCGCCACAGGAACCTGCATGCATTCAGGTGGTGATGCTGAAAATGCCTTAATATTTTCTTTAAAGCTTGGTCCTGATTTGCTGCCAAGTCTGTTTGACATGACTTGAACTGCAGCTGATAGAATACAGATTAGAAAACTGATTAGTCTGCTGGTATTTATCATAAATACTCAATCAATAACATTAATCTGACCTTGATTTAGCCAAAAGCTCAACTGCTTTCCACGTTTCTTTCACCATGTCAGGATTTAAATGCACCTCTTCAGTTCAGCTCTAATGTGCAGCAGTAAGTCAGAAATAAGCAACTTACTGGACTAACGGTTTTCTATTTGCAGTTGCGGCGCTTTTTTACCTCATAAATGTCAACATTATTCATATCTCTCTATCTTAAAACCCTTTTTCATCTGACTGAAGGAGGCAGCACATTACCGGTCCATTTTGTCTGGAAGAACAATCACATAATGCATTAAATGCCTCCCTTTATGCGAGTCTAAAGAAAGAAACCCGTTAATAAAGAACGCTGAATCAATGAAGTTTGGTCGAGTCAGTTTACACAAAGAAAACCCGGATTTATCAGACTTGTTTCATGGTACAGCCCTCAGCAGTAACGCCTGTCTTTATCACCATGAAGGGGACGTTCGTATCCTAAAACTACCCCAGAAGTCCAGTCTAAGGACGATTGTTTGGTACCAAGGCGATGCCAAAGCTCTTGTTATTCTGTGGGATGTTGAAGATGCTGGAGACCAACATCCACCATGACAGGCAGCAAAAGTCGTGTTTGGAGATATTTTTCAGGGATGAATTCTAGACAACCGGAAGCCAGAATGTAAACAAAGTCAGCTACTGAAGTCCAGATCTGTGTGCAGAACTCACGCCGAGTGAGTCTCAGTCGTTTACTTCACGTGTATTAACGCGCTTCCTTGAATGTTGTTTTATTTTTGTGAACTTTTGTGGCTAATGTTAGCTTATTTAGGCTCATGACGTTAGCTCACCGCAGCTCTGGTTGATAAGTTTACCAACACAGAGTGTCGTACGTGTTAACATATTGTTCATATTCAAATACATTCAATTCCTTTTTTTTTTTTGGTATTGAATTTGGCATCGTGGAAGCACCACACAAATATCTCCAGTAGAAGACCTGGTTGTTTACGGTCCGCCCTGCTACTCTGCTGCTGACGCTGCAGGAATAGTGGTATAGTTTCGCACATAATTTCATCTGTTGGAGGGAAATTAGTGGACGTTGCTCAGTAAATTAAACTACCGTGAGTGGTTTCTAAACGTAGAAACCAACGAGGCTGAAGGTTTGTTTGGGTCTTTTCTTAACACGGGACTCATCGTTCAGCACAAAGAAATGAACCGAGTGTCAAGTAGGAATGAGAAGACAGCGTGTGAGTACCGTTATCACAGCTGGTAGGAATGTTGACTCAACGAGCTCCTCCGACGGACGCTAAACGTCTTCTGAAATGCTGTGGATCGTCTCGATGATCTTCTTCTTCAGTTTCTTCACTTTGTCCGGCGGCGTCTCGTTCAGACACTCCTCTATGTACTTCAGGAAGCCGGCGTGCGGCGACACCGCCTGGTTCTGACAGAACGTCCTCATGAAGTCCAGAACCTCGTTGGTGGTCGGCGTCGCCCGGCGGCTCGCCCGCTTGCGTCCCGACACCCGGCTGTCCGTCAGCGAGGACGACGTGGACGGGGACGAGGATGGCGAGGAGCGCTGGGAGTCCGGGGGAGTCGGCGAGGGCGGGGCGTCGAGGCTCCGGGACGCCCCGTGCAGGTTGGCGGCGTTCTGGTTGGCGGCGTGGTAGAGCAGCGAAGGGGGCGGAGCCTGGCCGTCCAGGTGGAGGAGGCTGGACTCCTGCGGCCCGTGGAAGTGGAGGTCGTCGGGCCGCTCGTCCTCGTCGCAGGAGTCGCACAGGAACATGAGCTCGCGGTAATGTTTCCACTTGGGCAGGTAGAAGTCCTCGGAGCCACAGGTTTTGTTGGAGCTCACCGCTTTGTGCTCCCGTTGGAAGATGGTTCGCAAGTTCCTGAACTTTGTCTTTATGTCTTCCACTGAAGAATGGAGATAACATAAGATACAACTTTACTGAGCCCTCGCTGGGGAGATTTACATGTTACAGCAGCTAGATAGAGACGACACAGGACAAAAAGTACAAGAAATAAAGATGTAATTAAAGTATATAAAGACAATGTACCAGAGAACACGTTGGCCTCGTCATAAAACACTTGATGTGAGGAGTCATTCTGAATTTAACTTTTAAAATTTAAACCTAATCAATTAAAATGCAGCACCATAAGCTCCTCAGTTACTGCCCATTGGAAGGGTTGGGTATCGTTTGTATTTTATGACTCGGATTCTGCTTGTCGATTCCAATTTTTGGGATTCTCGATTGTGCAGGTGGTTGGAGTTACGATAGTCTGACTTTGCCAGCCCATTCTCTGGCTGCACCCCACGATCATCCTCCTGTAGGGTACAAAAGCACTGACTTGTTTGTATTTCTTTAAACCACCTGTTTAGGAATCAATAAGCACCATCCAAATGAAACCTGCGCAGCGTTATCCGTTGGTACTAATTGGTTTTATTCGTGGAGTATTTGTGTCGGCATCACAGCGCCCTTGTTGTGTCAGCGGCAGTAAATCAGCGTTACCTGTGAACGGGACCGGCTCGTTGTCCGACAGGAGGGTGCTCAGCGTCTCCAGCAGACTCTGTCTCAGCAGACGGTTCCTGTAGCTCTCGGACTTGTGGTTCCACAGACAGCTGTGTTCTGCAACAACAACACAAACCTTCAGCTCTCACGTATGTACAAAATAAAAGCACCGCCGGTCCGATGTCCCTCCACAGCA